TATGAGTGCTATTTTCATCCCTATTTTACAAATGAAGAAAGTAAGCATAAAGGGATTAAGGAACCTGCCCAAGGTTACCAAGTAGGGACAGGATTAGAACTATGTCAGTGGAGTTTAAATCACACACTTTACCAGGTATGCCACCACTCTAGAAATGATGTTCCTCAGTCAAATAATGAGTGGCACTTAACAGAGGGAGAGAAACCTTCCAAGTGGAGGAAACTATAAACTGACAGGTACATCACAATCATTTGTTCAAAGCCCAGTCATGTAACTGTTGCTTCCAAATTGGGATTCTCAGGTTCCTGAGGTCTGGGCGTATTGCTGAAAAGTCAAAAAGTTATTAATGGGGAAGTATATTAACTGAGAGGCTATGAGGGACCTGGTAAAACTGTTAAGATTTTGGCAAATGTTTTAAAATTTAGTGGTATGAAACTAATTTCATACAATAATGGTTGTGGTTGGCATATATACCTTATGATTAATTAAAATGGAGAAAGGATTATAACTTCATAACTGGTTAATTAAGTCATCTTAAAGAAGAGGTCACAGAAGGTAAAGGATAACAAAAGCAGCTTCAGAGTCATGAACATTCAATCACTAAGGAAGAAGGAAGGAGGTTATATATTCAGGATCCCCTTAAACCTGCCTATCCCCTCCCAACTGGGTTTCAGTAATTCTCAGGCTAGAGGACCTTTTTTTTTTTTAAAATCCCTAAGACTAATACATCATTAACAAGATGAAATTGGTTGGCATATATACCATGAAATTTTTGTGACAATGGCAAAGTAGTCCTTGGTGGTCAACAACCCTCCATCCTCAAATTTAGTGATAAAGAAACCTTGAGTTATTAGAAAAGTAAACAATAGCTGATCATGAACTATATAAATAGTTCAGACTATTATTGATTCAGAATCATTTGTGGTGTTGTCTCTTGTATGATAATTTTTTAAGCCAAGAGTTACTGCCTAGGAGCCATACTTGGGAAAAACTAAAACTAAAGTATCTCACATCTTCATTAGCAAAATAATGTAGTAATAGGAAATTAAGTTACCAAAAATGAGGGCAGAACAGGATATCGTTTGTTTTTGCATAGACAGAAAAAAGGACATGTATTGTTCCAAAAGCATACCAGCCCCATGCTGAGTTAGCACCCTGTACTATTTTTGGTCACTGTTCTCAAAGCAAGGTTTCAACAGTTTTGTACAGTGTCCTATCCAAGTCAACTATTATTATTTTGTTTCCAGTTGAACATTGGGAAAGAGGCCTAGAGGTTATGTGCCATGCCGAGTATTCTCACTGTGTCTGGTACAAGCAAGAGGAGAGCTCCAGAACTCACACTGATAGGTCATCTGGGCCTTTCCAGAAGTCTCTCAAATGTCTTGACCTGTATGGCTCTTGCACAGGTGTGGCCAGAACTCCCATTTCACCTTCCTCTCTTGCAGTGGTCTGTAGGGACCTGGCCTGCTTCTTATTGCTTTTTAAAGTTGGTTCCACACTCCCTACTCATTGGGAGTTTTAACCTGAGGTAGGGAGACATACTTTCCCTAGTTGATCAGATCAGATGAATTTCATTTTGATTGCAGTAATTTAAAAAATAGGGAAGCTTTGCAGATTAGGAGATCTTACATTTTTTTTTTGCTAACATAACTCTTGATCACTTATTGGAATTATCTTGAAGCCTTATTAAAACATTTCTAAGCCCTGCTCTCAAGGTTTCTGATGAGGTAGTTTCGGGAATATGTAGTTTTGGGATGAGGCCTGAGGGTTTGCTCTTCTAATAGATTGTCTCTGGAGTAGTCTATGTTCTTTGCCCACTGTGTAGCCCTTAATTTATTATTCTGCTTATTAGCTTTGAGTCCTGTTTTAATTATAATTTCTTCTTTTAAAAATATTTTTTTAGTTATACATGGATACAATATCTTTATTTTGCATATTTATTTTTTTATGTGGTGCTGAGGATCGAACCCAGTGCCTCACATGTGCGAGACAAGTGCTCTGCCACTGAGCCACAACCCAGCCTCTAATTATAATTCCTTATCTAATGATTTTATTGGGGTGCTTGGGATCAAACCCAAGCCTCTCATATGCTAAACATGTACTCTGAGCTATACCTCTAGTCTATTTAGTCATAATTTCTTAGCAGAAACTACAGAATTTAAGTCTTGTTGCATTAGTCATATTTACTGAATATGTGGTCAGTATATTTGTTAACCTATTAAAATATCTGGCCAAGTAAACTTGAAATTTCAACTTTTATTGTATAATGTTTTTAAAACATTTTTCTTTTTCCAGGTATTTAACACAAGGTTGTTTAAAATCAAAGAAAGACACCTATTTCTTACCTATTTGGGAAGAGCACAGTATGATCCAGCAAAACCTAATTACATCTCTTTGGACAAATTAGTATCTATTCCTGATGAAATATTTTGTAAAGAGATTGCCAAAGCCTCTCTACAGGACTTTGAAAAATTCTTAAAAACTCTTTAGTTTTTGATCAATATTAACATGTAATGTTGTAAAATGAACATATGTATGAGTAAAATATATTTTAAAATAAATGCCTCAGGTCTCAATTTATATTAGAAACAATTTTTTTGATATTATATATTTGGATACATACACTCTGGTAGAACTTTCTTATAAGTTCCTATTGACTTAATTCTTATTTTGCTCAACCATGTCCTCAACTAAAATTAACAAGCTTAGAGAAAAGAAGTGAAGTGAGAGTACTATATGCTGGTACTTTGCCATTCTGATGAAGATGGCAACAGTGGAAAGTTTTCCTGCTCTAACATTCACAAATCTTTTCAAGTGGTTTCATTTCTTTAGGTGGCTTTATTTCCTTTGAAATGTTATGAGTTTCTAGAGCATAATACACCACCCATCTAATAAGTATTACTCAATGCTCCAAACATATTCTACTTTGGATTATCTACAATGTTGTCTTGCTGAGCACAGATATTCAAAACTGCCTGCAATTAGCTACTAAAATTCAGCAAAGGGAAAGGGACAGGGAAGAAAGTTTGAAGAGGAGGAAAGGCAATAAGACAGTAACAGCCATAATAAACTGACTTACTACCAGCAAGCAGATTTATAACATGAATACCCTCACCACATATATTATCCTGGGCAAGTGATTTTATCACTGAGTCTTTGCTTCTATATTTGTAAAATAAGGCACCATGACTATCTGCCTTAGGATCACCAGATTGGGTAGACTTTAACATTGATGTACTCTGTGAACCATACTTGTTATTTTCACTCTTGAGAAATTTCTTCTCTTAACAGCCAATGAGATTTGGCCCATGGGGCATATGGGACATTATCAAGTAGATTCTTTTTTTTTTTTTTTAACCTTTTATTTATTTATTTTTATGTGGTGCTGAGGATCAAACCCTGGGCCTCACATGTGCTAGGCAAGCACTCTACCGCTGAGCCACAACCCCAGGTCTCAACTAGATTCTTGATAAACATTTGGTATTGGGGTATGCTTGGAACCCTGTGCTATTATTTAAAAAGGTCTAGTCATTCTACTGGAGAAGTGAGTTGGAAAGAAAAAAGAGATACCTGGCCAATCCCGTTGGTCCACACATGCCAACCAAATGCCAGATGTGTGAGGCAGCTATCTCTGAGTAGAACTATGTAGCTGGATTCAAAATTGGAAGAAATTGATTTAAAGTCACCAACTTTGGGGGTTATGTGCACAAGCATTTTGTAGTGTGCCTGATGTCTTGAAAGAAACTTGAGAAACCTAATTTGTAATTGTTTAGAATCAGGTATAGTGTCCTTCCTGTAAAGATATTTTGTTCATTCACTCAACAAACATTTGAGGTCCTAAAACACAGTGGCACAGGTGACACAGATGTGTGCTTTCAGAGCATTCTCCAACAGATGAAGTCAATAAACAGGAAACAATGAAGAACGTACTGCTGGGAAACAACATGGAACTATCTTGCCTGGTCTTCCTGCACCACAGAACTTCATTTTGCCGTTTTAAACAATATCAGATTAGGTTAGCTATGCTACAGTAACAAATGCTCCTAAAATCCCGAGTGATTTAAAAATCATACACATTTCTTCTCATACACACTCTTGGGACCACAAGGGCTGTGTTCCATGTTATTTTGGTTATACAGGTCAATGTATCCTGAATGTCTTCTGGCTGTACATGATGTAGAATCACACCAGTCACGTAATCATATATGTACACAGAGTGATTTTATGTGCAGTTCATTCTACAATGCTTCATACCCCTCCCTTCCCTTCACTCCCCTCTGCCTAATGCAAAGTACCTCCAGTTTTCCCTAGCCCTCTCCCCTTATTGTGAAGTAGCACCCACATATCAGAGAAAACATCTGGCCTTTGGTTTTGGAGGACTGGCATGATATTCTCCAGGTTCATCCATTTACTGGCAAATGCCATAATTTTATTCTTCTTTAAGGCTGAGTAATATTCCACATTGCTTTATCCATTCACCTGTTGAAGGGCATCTGTTGGTTCCATAGTTTGGCTACTTTGAATTGAGCTACTATAAACATTGATGTGGTCACATCACTATAATTTGCTGATTTTAAGTCCTTTGGATATAAACAGGAGTGGGATAGCTGGGTCAAATGGTGTTTCCATTCCAAGTTTTCTAAGGAATCTCCATACTGCTTTTCATAATGGTTGCACCAATGTGCAGTCCCACCAGCAGTGTATGAATGTACATTTTCCCCTATGTCCTTGCCAACATTTGTTGTTGCTTTTATTCTTGATAACTGACATTCTGACAGCAGTGGAATTAAATCTTAGTTTTGACTTACATTCCTCGAATTGCTAGTGATGTTGGACATTTTTTCATATATTTGTTGATCAATTGTTTATCTTCTGTGAAGTGTCTGTTCAGTTCCTTAGCCCAATGCCTAACTTTTAAAAAGACAAAGAAGTGTAATCCCTACCCTATATGAATAGGGAAGAAACCTAAAATAATTTTTGAATCAGCAATAACAACCTACCTGGAAACATACAGGCTCGAGGCTTAATTCCTAGAGGAGCTGAATTGTGCAATCCTGGGTATCTGATCCCTTGACATAGGTCTTCCTTCTCTGGCCATTTGCACCCTGTAACCAGCTGCTGCAACTTAAAGGATACAGAAGAGTTTATGGAATACCTCTTCCTTCAGTCATGCTAATGCTACCAATTGTTTTTTGTCCCTAGATTTTTATGCCTTTGTAAAACAATGTGCCAATGTACAAATGCACTGCATTTCTTCATATCTTTCAAACTTGAACCTTGCTCATGTAGGCTAGAAGCAGTCATTCGTAAGTTTTTAGTCCTGCATACAGAACCAAGTCATAACAAGAAATTGTGGTAGCAGAGACAGAAGGAAAAAAAAGGCAATATAACTTTAGAATTGGTTTGTGACTAAGATCATTAAATAACATTTCAGTTTAAAACTGAAAGGGAAAAAAAAGTAAGATATTATCTGGTAATGGTGGAAGCACACCAGTAACTACCAGTCATGCTAATGCTACCAATTGTTTTCTGTTCTAGATTTTTATGCCTCAGACTTTACATGTTGAGGCTAAGAACTTGAAAATGGACAAAACTATGTATTTACTCCTCTTTATTTTAAAATTATATGCAAATCCTACTATCTCTCTTAGATTTAATATTTTTAAAACTTGTTTTTGAGAAGTTGGGGATTGAACCCAGGGGCCCTGTGCCACTTAGCTACATTTCAAGCCCTTTTTTATTTTGAGACAGGGTCTTACCAAGTTTTCCAAGCTGGCCTTAAACTTTCAATCCTCCTCCCTTGGCCTCCAAAGTCGCTGGGATTACAGGTGACCACCACCAGACCTGGTAATAGTTTAACTTTTTTGACCCAACCTGTCATTAAAAATGGTTTGATGTAGAAACTGAAGACCAGAAAGGTTTATTTCCTTACTTGATTAGAGTAGTGTATCTCTTATGGCTCTAGAATTAAAGAGGTTTGGATTTGTATCTGGATTCTCAGATTTTATCTCCATTCTTCCTAGCAGTGTCAAAGAGGACAAGCTATTCAATCTTTCTGAATCTCACCTTCCTCTCTTTAAAGAAGATAATCACTTACTGACATCATAGATTGAGAATTAAATGAGGATTCAATCCTCCGTTTCCGAAGGTTTCTCATTTGTGGATTCAGTCTACCACGGATCAAAAATATATGAAAAACATTGCATCTGTATTGAATATATAGACTTTTTTCTTGTCATTCCCTAAATAACGCAGTACCACAACTATTTACATAGCATTTACATTGTGCTGAGTATTAAAAATAATCAAGAGATGATATAAAGAACACAAAAGATGCGTGTAGGTTATAAGTAAATACTACACCGTTTTTTATAAAAAAAAAAAAAAAAAAAAACTTGAAACATCCAGGAGAGCCTCTGGGCTAATGGATCCAATCCCCCAGCCCATGCCGAGGGGCTGTACACCTGAAAGACATCACCCAAGTTCTTATAGCTGGCAAGCAGCAGGACCTGCACTAAATCCGGGGTCTCCTAACTCCTTGCCTAGTGTTCTTCTCATCATGTCCCAAGTCTCGGAACAGCACGCAAAACGCCAGCTTCTACCATTGATATCACCGGCTTAATGGGGCACAGCAGGTGCCAATGATGTCCATCAGAACTGCGCCTGCGTGGACTTCCTCCCTCGACTGCGGAACGGAACAAAGCGCCTGCGCACTGCGCCCGGCGTGTCCTCTAGGACGTACCCAGAAGGCAGCTCTTTGCTCCTGGGTCAAAATGGCGTCAAGGCCAGCTGGTAAGTGATTGAGGTCGTTTCTGGTGGGTACCGCGGTGTTCAGCATTATTTTAGCAGCGACTGGTTCTTTTTCTGATCTCTCAAAATGGCCAGGTTTACCACGTAAAGGAAAGTGGCGGCTCCAGTCCAGCGAAAGGGACGCGCTTCCCTTTTCCAGGTCCTGCTTGCTTGAGGGTTGGGACAGGACCTGCTGCTTTGAAGGTGCAGCGGCAGCTCTTAAAGCCCTGAGCGGCAGCTGCCGCTGCTCGGCATCCTTCCCCTCAGCCCTTGAAAAGTTTAACGACTCGAGGAGATAATTAGTGAGTGTCAGGGAAAGTGAACCGAGTGCTTAATGAGCCAAGCCCCGTCAATTGCATAGTCTCGATCAGTCCTACTATTGCTATTTGTTTCACGTCGGTAGAAGACAGCAGTTATTGCAAGAAATGATATTGGAGCCCTTCCTTATTCCGCCCCTGGCGCTTCTCCCTGGCAATTAGAGGTAGCTGAGCGAGGTTTACAGTTTGACCTTGGTTTATCTGGAAAGTGAGTTTGATCTGTAGGTTTGGAGAAATCTGTATTTATTGTAGACACTGGAGCAAACACATTTATTATAGAGTATAATGCAGAAATTTTCGGAATATTTAAAGCAACCTCAGATAATGTTTTTTTTTTTTTTCTTTTTTTGCTAATCTCTGCCCTCTGGCGGTATAAATTGGAAGTTTTTAAAATATTGGTCCTTGTCTTCATGTTTCCAGCAATTGTGAAACCATTAATGAAAGAGATTTCCAGATAAATCTGTTAACCTAATTGACATTAAGCTTTTAGGGAATGGAGAAGACATATAAGAATTTATTATTTGGGCTTGGGATGTGGCTCAAGCGGTAGCGCGCTCGCCTGGCATGCGTGCGGCCCGGGTTCGATCCTCAGCACCCCATTCAAACAAAGATGTTGTGTCCGCCGAAAACTAAAAAATAAATATTAAAAAAAAAATTATCTCTCTGTCTCCCTCTCTCTCTCCCCAAAAAAAAAAAAAAAAGAAAATAATTTATTATTTAATTGATATGACATATTTAAGGAATCTTACTAAAATTCAGGGCATTCTGCTTCTGTGCTGTGTTTCGGAACCACATGTACCTATTAGTAGCTAACTCTGACTCTGAGTAAAATCACTTCTGTAGGCCTGCTTCTTTTTATTTTTTCATAGCTCTTAATTACCAAGGAGATTTGTTAAAGCCATGTTATCCATAACATAATAAGGATTCAGGGCCTGGTAGCGTTATAATGAAAGGAGAATTTGCCCTTCTTCCTTGGTAAGGCCTAACCCTAGAAGAAATTTTAAAAGAAAGTTTAAACTTGTTCTAACTTCCTGTCTGTACCATATCTCTCTGATAAATATCAGGCACAGTCGTGTCCTTAGCCTCTACTGGAATACCTCAATGAGGCTTAGCCTTGTTCTCCAAAGAATTTTAACATTACCTATTTCTCCTTATCCATGGTCAAATATTCATTCTCTTTAAGGAAAGTTAACTGCTTGAAAGGAGGAAATGGGTTTATTTTTCTAATCCATATTAATGTCTAAATTACTAACAGTATAAACATTATTTCAGAAGGACATATATTTTAAAAGACGATAGCCAAGTCAAATAATGGTAATGTCAACTAAAAATTTTAGCAGATGGGAATCTTTATACCTGAAATATCACCCTTCTTTTCATACCACTTCTTTTGAAAATAAAATTTTATAGTTATTCATGTAAAGTATTTCTGTAACTGGAAAATGACAGAAATCCTCCAATACCTTTCCTGTATCCGCCCCTTCAATTCTAGTGGTAGGTGGACATAGGGCACTGCATGTTGGACTTAGACTGGAGTGACAATAATGTACCTATGGATCATTTGTACACTTTTGTTTGAGTTTACCTGTTTCTCCCATGACTTGCTACAAAATTTTTTTACCTGAAGTCACTTCTTATTCATAGATAAAATAAGCAATTCTTATCTAAAATGTATAGAATGTAAACTTTTGAAAGGAAATTTCTTCTTATATTTGTAAGAAAATAACTGTAGGAGTACCAATTGCTTATCTATCACTGTATTCATAGAGTGTAAGTGAATTGGAGCAACTAACTGTGATAATTACCAGTTGCAGCATCAGGCCGGTGGCTGGAAGGTATTCGAAAATGGTATTATAATGCTGCAGGATTCAATAAACTAGGTGAGTATTTGTGCTTTCTTCTGTTTTCTTTTTTCCTTTTTCTGAGAGTAGTGCTTTTGTATGATTTACTATGGTTCCAAAAATACTTTGTTTCTGTGTACATCAAAAAATTTTAAAATTAGACTACACTTTATTGGTTTTTGTTCTTTTTGAGAGAAGAGGGATGAAATGTTTGAGGTGGAAACAGTTTATGGGTTGCAGAATGTTTTCCTTATATTTTCCCTCTCCCAATTCTACTTAAATCTAAGTCATGTGAACATTGAATAAAAAGATTTTTTTTCCCAAAAATTTAGATTGAATCATATTTTACAATGTGACATGACATTTTTTTGAACTTTATAATTTGCTGTGAACTTCATCTTTTGCTATTAAAGCTTAGTGGAAAGCATTATTAAATGTTACTGAGTCTTTAGTTCACTGACATTTTATGATTCTTTAACATCTTTTTAAAAAAGATATTTTTAAATTGTAGATGGACACAGTACCTTTATTTATTTATCTTTATGTGGTGCTGAGGATCGAACCCAGTTCCTCACACATGCTAGGTGAGCGCTCTACCACTGAGCCACAATCCCAGCCCAAGATTCTTTAACATCTTGATCTCAGATTTGAAGTATAAAAAAGTAGAGATGTTGGGCTGGGGATGTGGCTCAAGCAGTAGCGCACTCGCCTGGCATGCGTGCGGCCCGGGTTCGCTCCTCAGCACCACATACAAAAACAAAGATGTTGTGTCCGCCGAGAACTAAAAAATAAATATTAAAATTCTCTCTCTCTGTCTCTCTCTGTCTCTCTCTCTCTTTAAAAAAAAGAAAAAGAAAAAAAGTAGAGATGTGGCTTATGGATATGTGTTCAAGGAAAAGCTAAACATATGAAGTATTTTTGGAACTGGATTAGATGAAATATTGCAATTTGTAATGGTTTTTGTAAGAGGCCCATATATTGCTTCAAGAAATAACTCATTATATGGTTGAGATGCTTTAGGTTTCAAAACATCATACCTAGTGATTTAAACTCTTGATATTTCACCTGTCTTAAGATATAAGTCATACAGATATTGTACACCCCCAAAAAAGAAAAATCCTTACTTTTTGAAATGCATATTCAATCTCTCTTTTATTCTCTACCATAGGGTTAATGCGAGATGATACGATATATGAGGATGAAGATGTAAAAGAAGCCATAAGAAGGCTTCCTGAGAACCTTTATAATGACAGGATGTTTCGCATTAAGAGAGCACTGGACCTGACCATGAGGCAACAGATCTTGCCTAAAGAGCAGTGGACAAAATATGAGGAGGTAGAACAGCTATTATGTGTCTGACAATGTTGACCTTTAAGGGTAGAATATTAGAAACAAAAGAAGGACATTCATTTTTGTAGTACTGTAGAATTCTCAAAGTTGTATCAAAGAAATATCGTTTCAATAGCCTGGGTAGGTTAGTAGGGAAAGCATTGGCTCCACATTAGAGAAAAGTACATTGAGACTAGAAGTGAAGTGACTTCCAGAATCACTAAATAGGTCTTAATATAGACAGTCAGGATAGAATCCAAGTCTTTTGCTTCCCAGGCCATTGTTCTGCCTCTATAGTTGGCTTCCTGCTCAGATGAAAACATTTTGGTGTTCATATAAAGCCCGCAGAATGGTCCTCTAATGCCCAGGAATGACTTCTGTAAAGCATACTCTCACCCTTTGATCTGCACTAAAAACAGACAAAAGCCTATAGACACTGATTTCTTTTTCTTTCCTGATGGACCCCTCTCTCATAATCTATCAAAGCAATTTATTGCATTGGGGTTTTGCATTTTCAAAAGTAGATAGTTTTTAGTCTGGTTGAGAATAAATTTTCTTAATATAATGATATATATTTTTTGGAAATAAAAGGTAGTTAATTTTAATGTTTAAGACCTATTTGTTTTTTAAGACCTATTGAATATTTGGGATATGTCAGTATGTGATGGTAGAATATAATATTTTTCTTTTGCTCATTCTTTAGGATAAATTCTATCTTGAACCATATCTCAAGGAGGTTATTCGGGAAAGAAAAGAAAGAGAAGAATGGGAAAAGAAGTGATCGTGTAGTTGAAATCTGTGGAAACAGTTGTCCTCATATTTTTATGAAGTCGGTTAAATCTGAAACATACAATTTAAAAATTATTTCATCTGCATATATGTTACTTTAAATAAATGTCTATCATAATAATTATTGGAGTTTTTGACTTCTAATCTTAGCCTGATAAGTACTGAATTCACTTATCTGACACAATTCTTTCCAGACTTTTAAGATATCTTAAGTCAGTGTTCAACTGCTTCTGGGAGATTAGAGAGGCCACTTGAATCTTTCCCTCATTGTTTGGATAACCTCTTAGTTTTCTGAAGGATATAACATTCTACCAAGCAGAATCACCTTGTGTAAATGGCCTTTGTCAACTTGAAAGATACTTGAGAGCTGCATCAAGACCTAACTTGGCAGATAAAGGAATGGGTCAAGAAGCAAGAGTACTCAAGCAGAATGGCTTTCAGCTTCAGAAGAGACTGAAAGAAGGGAGACAGAAACAGCTCTTCAATCATTGCTTTCCAAGTAGACTTATTTTTCATCCTTCTATTAGAAATAGATTATGTGTACACCTTAATATGAGTATATCTAAGTTACATGTGCTAATAATGTAGGTAAGAAAAGTAGA